CGGTTCGTTTGCTGAGTGAGGTGACCTGGTCCACTGTTTTTAATGGTTGGAAACGTATCTTGAACCCATCTGGTGTTGTTGATGTCCACAGGCTGCGGTAAGCATGCAACGGCCGCCTGCTCTCTTGCCAACTTTTAAACTGACTTCCAAAACGGAGGAGCTTCTCAATTGAACTGTATATTTTTATGTTTGTTACTCCAGAACTTTCGACTGAGAGAACAGATTTCGATGATTCTTTTTTTATTTGAAAGCCGGTGCTTCCCATGTGTCCATATTAATTATTCATTGGTATCGATCATGGGCCCTAGAGATACGAAGTCCTGAAAAACAATTATAAAATGAATACAGAGCGAGATATCGCTTCGGTCGGTTTTGTTTTTCGTTATTAAAAAATTGCCTCATAAAAAATGCAATTTTAAGTGATGAGTTATTATGTGCTCAACGTCTTTAATTAATATAGCGAGATTTTGTTTAACATCAATCGCATGTTTTGTCGTATATGAATGTTGGACGCGTTACTAAAGGTAGATTTATCTTTTAACTTCATGGTGTTGATTTCATTAAAATAATTTCCTTAAAAACAATTTGAAACCATTATTACAATGACATACTGTATAATATACTTCTACGCCTATTTTCATCAACTGACCCAAGCTAGTGAGGTCATTGGTGCGTCATCAAGTTTTAGGTAAATAAAAAATGCCTCACCACATGAATACATACCGTTTAATTCTTCACTATACATACCGTGTTTTTCTTCTTTGCGTTGGCCCTTTGTAAGGCCCTGTAACATTGATGACATCGACCCTTTTCATATGGTATATGGCCTTCTATAACCTGTTCTGAAATCAACTCTGACAATCGTATAACGCACAGGTATATTAGCATTTCTGAAATTAGCACTGCTACCGGCTCGATACGCGAGACGTCTCCATCACAACAGTACTTACCTTGAACTTAATTGCTCAGATGTATTTATCAAGCGGCTTACAAGAAAGAATTGCTTCGCAGTTCGTTTGTATTTTTGTCTATGTTTGTTTCCTTAGAACTCCGTCATTTATGAACAGATTTTAAAAAATATTTTTGCAATGCTCTCCGTTTAGCTCCCATGGGGGCCAATATTAATTTCATTAGTATACGAACTTTTTTTTTATGTGAAAAGTTGCCAAGCGTGCAGATGGTTCACCTGATGTTAAGTGAATACCGCCGCCCATGGACATCTGTTACACCCGAGAGTTCCAGATGCGTTGACAACTTTTTGAAGATTGGCCTCCGGCCACGTCACTCACCAGACGAAACGCGAAAGTATTATACTTCCACTTTACGCCGGTCTTCTGTGAATCGTGGTACTTACCTGGACGAGCCTGACCATTCGTGCAATAGCCGAGGCTACTGCCTGGCCCTACCACCGTTAAGTAATTTATCGGTAATTTATTACAGAGGTCTACTAACTGATCTAGAGAGCGGTTCTTACTAAACGATTATTAACATATTTTGTGATTAAAATTCAACTTACATTTGTTCTATCTCTCCTCTACATTAAAAATAAAACTTTTAAAGTATTCAAATAGTTCAGAGCATACTCGTATTGAGTTCTAATTCTAAACAATGTAAAATCCATTTGCCGGTAGGCAAATTGTTTGGCACAGACATGTTGAAGATGTCTTTAGAATGCATTTTATTGTGGTATCGTTACTTTCACTTGACCGACCTTCATTCATCTTCTTGTTCGTTTGTTTACAGATTGAGGTAAAAATATCCATAGGTAACGTAATAGACTTATTAGTTGGGAAGAGTATATTAATAATGTATGTATTATATACAATATTTATATCTATATGTTTGTTTTTATTTATAATATGTATTTTATATATGCAATATATATCTATATATTTATTTTTTTATATAAACCCAACCAGACTTGCTCCGCAATCAACTCTAACCACCCAATGACGTCATGTGAGGTGTAAAAAAATAGCAGTCGCTATTTTCAAGTCGACGTTTGACCTTGGTCGTATCTGATAGATAACATCAGACGGTGGCAGTAGTGCAACTGAAGGTGTGAGTTTTACTTGCTTTTTTATTAACTTTGATGACGTCTTGCTTCTAAGTACTATATAGTTTCGTTAAACTATAGAGTAATTATAGATACTAGTGATTATGATAGACCCAGTGCTTCGAGCACGACTTCGATTCGACTATAATTAATTATGCATGGTAGTATGTGTTCTGTTTAATTTTTTTATTACGGTGGTAGGGCCACGCAACAGTGTTCGCTGTTGCACGAATGGGCAGGTCCGTCCGGGTTAGTACCGCGACCTCACAGAAGACCGACGTAAAGTAGAAGTGTTGCACTTCTGCGTTTCGTCTGGTGAGTGAGGTAGCCGGGGCCCACATTCTTAAGAGGTGGCAACGCATCTGTAACCCTACGGGTGTTTTAAATGTCCATGGGCAGGCGTTTATCACTTAACATTAGGTGAACCGCCAGCTCGTTTGCCACTTTCTCACATAAAAAAAAATAATTTAATATATTTCTTTTAGTGTAGTTTTAAAAAAAATATCAGCATTCTGCACTCCTTCTTTCCTTAAAGTATAAGTGTAAGAAATTTCATACTCCACCGTCCGTTGAGCTGCAATTTTTGTTAAAAGGGGTACCTACAAAGATTTTGCTTCACGTATTAATATATGGATAGAGAAATTATAGATGTAAAAGATAGTGATCAGACAGAACATATTATACTATAATTACATCTCATTATAGGTATTTTATATTATGTATTCAATCTTTTCCCATGATAAAAGCAATTAGGGTAGATAAAATGGGCATATAACGTAAAGATAATGTAAAAGAATTATAAATATGACATGTAAAATCAAGAATAAAGTTTAACAGACATCGAGACGTGATTTTTAAGTTTCGCTAATCAGTTTTTACAGTTTCGAAATAATTTTCTGTATTTCCATCGATAGAAGCGGTACTTTTGAAGAACCACTTTGTCTGTAAAATTACTTATTCTCTGAGATGGGTAAAGGTATCAGATTGAGATACAAGTATGTCTAGTACTAAGTTCTTTTAGCAAATACGTTATAAGTTTTCATAGAAGGTTCACGGTCCCTATCCAGTGAATTTTGGGCTCAAAGTCAAGGCGTCAAAAATATAGCCGCTCACAATAAAACCTATAAGGTACTACCCGTTGAAAAATAATTGTCTGGGTAACCCATTAGCCGTACCGAACGGCGCAAAAAAATGTCTACTAAAAATAGTAGACTCGCGTTTTAATTACGGCAGTGTCATTTGAATAACCTATAAGCTCATGAAAAATAATTAATGATACCGGTTTGTGCTGTCAAATCATCTCGCAATTATGTAGGAAAATGGTATAATAATACCAAGTAGCTTTTGTTATTTAAGCACTATTAATTTAAGAAAACACGATTTTTCAATTGGTTATTTCTGTTAGTGTTGTCAGTTTATTACTAGGAAGTTTTGGGGAAAGTAGGTATACAAAATACAAATATCATGACAACATATTTCGATCATAACATTATTATTTTAAAAATTACATTATTTATTTGATCTGCAAATGATAATTTACACAGAATAAATGAAACCCATGACGTCATGCACTAAATAGTATTTTTGTTAGTTCTTCCTTTTATTTTGGGTTTCAGATTTCCTACGGATTCCGTACTTACAATTTGCTGTACAATCGCCGGAGAGCATGTATAATCGCTGGAGAGCGGGTAGATTTTAGAAACAGATTTTGATGTATAAACTACTGTATTTTTTCATTGTATTTTTTGATGTTACTAAAATAACTACTAATCTATAAAATAATTGCTTTATTCAACCTTATTGAATAATGGGGAAAACTTATGTTAATAATTTGTAGCAGTCATCCCTAAACACGCAAAGTGTGCGTGTTTAGGGATGACACAGTTTGTTTACATATAAGTACAAGAGCGGCTCACACACATCACCCAATCGGAGACAGTTTTAGCGCGTCGTTTGTTAAACATTGCACCATCTAGACAAGTATATAATCAAAGATAGTCACGAAGTTCGGGAAAATATGATGTTTAGTACTACTGATTTGATGTGTTGACTTGGTGTCGCAGGTATTCAGCTATTGACCAGGGCCGGATTTAGAGGTCTGCCGGCCTGGGGGCAACAAACGAGTAGAGGCCCTCTGGCCCCAAATTATTTTGATGCCTGATTGGAGTGAACAAAAATAGATCGATGATTTCTGTTAAAATTTAATGTAATCATGTTTGTACAAAGTACTGTAGGTAAAGGTAAAACGCGGAAAAAAATATGAAAGGAAAAGTTGTATACTAGTGTTTAGGGGAGAGGTGGTATACTTGATCCCTGTTTTGGTTTTCTTTTAGTAATTCGAACCATTTTCATAAATCTGACTTTCTTTTAAATCACACATGTATTTCCGTTCAATACTACTGATTTAGCACCAATACAGACCTTCTTATTTATTAAATAAAACGACAAAAAGGGTTTTTTTAAAGTCCGACACAAGGATCAAGTAACCCTCCCTATGGGGATACTTGATCCCGGTGATTGGGTTGTATGATCCCGGAGGATCAATCATCCCACCCGTCAAAGTTTCAGCCATAGGCCTACCTAAATATGGAAATTATATAAACTTGGGTCTACTATTAATAAGTTGTAATTAACGATACGAAGGTGAGTAGGTACAAAATGAAAACAACATAAAAAAATTGAAAACACAGACAAAAAATAAATGGGAAAAATTATTCCAGAAGTGGCACGGAATAAATGTCACGTGTTTTTGAAAATTTCGTCGGCTCCGGCAAGTGTCCCAAAATGTCACCCCACACATAAAATATTTCGTCTTCCCTTGCTGGCCACTTCCAAAGCCTCCCACTTTTTTCCATTGCTTTTATTGTAGCCCCGTTTTCATGTATTTTTGTAATTTTTCCTGGGTATGACAAACCATTGTAAATTGCAACTACAAATTCCCCTACTTCTTTTCTGATGGGCTCAAAAGCTCTATGACCCTCGCCATCGCTGCATAACTCTTCTTCCCCCCCTGACGATGATGGAAGTGAAGGACATTCATCAGAATCAGATGAGGTGTCATCGTCAATTTTTTTTTTAGTGAAAAGATTTGTCTCACTGTTTTCTTGGTAGGCCTATTTTCTTTAATCTTCCTTTTCATTTCTATCTCCGCTATCTTCGCTAACTTTTTATTTGATTGTTCTTCAATGGCTGCTTTTTCCGGAGTATCGGTTAGGATGCGAGTACGTCCTCGCTTTCTCCCGCGCGACGACTGCGAGCGTGGACCTGCCTTGGAGTAGGGCATGATATCCTGTGGTGAAAAGTGCATCGGCACTCATCCTCCAAGTAAGGATGGGGAAGCGCGTTCACTCACACTGCTGCTTTGTACGGGCTCCTCAAGTGGAGAAGGGAGAGGGCAGTCCGACGCTATCACACTGCTCTGTATGGGATCCTCAAGCGGGGAAGGGGGAGCACAGTCCAACGCTGCCACACTTCTCTGTGCTGGTTCTTCAAGTTGAGAAGGGGGAGGGCGGTCCGTAACTAAACTGGTCATGAACTCACTCTCCGTGAAAATGTCGGCATTTATGGGCCATATTCCAGCCGCCCTGAAGCCACTAATTATATTGGTAGGCACCATCGCCCTTGGGAAAGCTTCCCCTAACAGTTCCGAAACGTCGTAGATCGTGATTGTTCTCCCGGGGTGTCTCAGCATAAAATTTGATGCTGCCTGAGAATAAAAGGTTTTTAAGGGGCCAAAAACAGTCCTGTCTAATGGCTGCAGCTTGTGGGATGTGTGTGGTGGAATTGTGAGAAGAACGATTCCGTTGTCTTTTGCGTAGTTGAGGGCGTCGACAGAACAATGACTCTCGTGATTGTCTGAGTGTGTCTTGTGAAGAGGGATATTTCATCTTATTTGCTTTGGCGAATTGGTAAGCTACCTTACGCATTTGTACAACGGTAAGTCCATAATACATTTTAGACATATGAACAAGATACGCTCCTAGCTCATCCTCGTGACGTTTGGACAAAATTTGTCTATTGGTAAAACCAGGTTGAACATAAGTCTCGACGGCATAGCCTTTTAAGTGTCATGACATTAATTTTAAATTCTCTGGCGACGGTTTTGCAAGCAGCTCTATTTTTAACTGCTTGGACCGCATTTTTCAAGGCCTCCGGGTCTGGGATACTTGATTCCGGGATACTTGATTCCGGGATACTTGATTCCGGGATCAAGCATCCCCCTAGCAAAAGGGATCAACTATCCCGAAGCAGTAACTTTATTTAAACTGGAAAAAAAAACAGCAACAAGATGAAAACATTTGACTCGGAAATAATTGAATTTACACAGCTAAATACACACAATATTTCATAAATACAAACAAAAAATTGTAAAGTACACGTACCTGAAGTTTTTCGAATTGTCGTACACTAAACAAAAAAAGTAAGATCAGGTAAAAACATAAATTTCCAATTATTTTGGCAACGAGCTGTTGTTTCGGTTTAATGTTTTTTTTTTTCGTATTGGTCATCATGGCGGCGTCCCAATGCAGCCAACAGAACACCTTTAAACACTTTTTGGCGCTAGTTTTAAATGGGGGATCATGTATCCTCGGGGATCAAGTATACCACCTCTCCCCTACTAGTCTGAATTTCAATTCTCTATTGTGGAGGCCCCGGGGCCAGGGGATGCTCTCCCCTAAATCCGGCTCTGGCTTCACGCCGGGGTCGTGGGTCCTATTCCCAGACGGGACAAGTATTTGTGTGACCCATATCTAATTGTTTCCGATCTGGGTGTTTAATCCCAATAAGGGTTGACGTCAATGATAAAACCTAGCAACAGACATCGTCAACACATGTGCGCGAAGAAGAATGGTGAATTGTGCAGGAAAATACTCTTTTGTTATTGGGTTATTATCGTATACTATACTAGCGACCCGCACCGGCTTCGCACGGGTGAAATGTATTATACATATAAACCTTCCTCTTGAATCACTCTATCTAGTAAAAAAACCGCATCAAAATCCGTTGCGTAGTTTTAAAGATCTAAGCATACATAAGGGACACAGACAGCGGGACGACTTTGTTTTATTATATATATACAAGTACCTACGTATGTTCTAACAATGTTGAAGTAAACCTCTGATCTATTTAATACGGTTTTAACAATTTTTAGCATGTCCGCTCACATAGGGCAGGGGTAATATCGAATTTATAATTATCAATATTGAATATCGTTGGTACACAGCTGTGCGTATTTACTTTACACGTTGCAAATAAAGTTCAGTCTTTAATCGAGCTGCATAGTAATCTACTCAATTACCTTGATAGAGGTAATAATTCTTTTCGTGTAGTTATGTGCGTTGGAGTTACATGATCTTACAACCAGGCGTTCGGCGGGGCTTCACCCTTATGCGTTCGACGTTACACGTACAAGAACAAAGCGATTCGCTTCTTCATTTATCATCCGTACAGCTAAAGAATAGAATTGCCTGCCCGCTTCCGTCTTTCCGTCCGAATACAACGTAGGCTTTTTAAAGGCAAGAGTGAATATAGGTTTCTACTGAGCTACCGCGCTTACCATCAACTTCTGCATCGCTACTTACCATCAGGTGGGATGGCAGCCAAGTGCTACCCAGTTTTGAATTAAAAAAAAGTTCATATAGTATGGCGATCTATTCAAGTTAATTGAGTGCTTGAGAAAATCTGAATTATGATCTCTCGGAACTACTGGACACTATTTATCCCGTTTTATTATTATTTTATAAAAACGTAGCCGGCGAAGCCGATGGTAAAATCTAGTGTAAAACAAAATTAATACTTTACGTGTAAAGTGCAAACTAGTTTCGAAGATCTGCACTGAGTTCTTGACTGATTAAGCTAGTTCATGACGCAATGTTAGACCACTTTGTGTTCACCAAATCTATAGAATAGAGATTAATGTCATTATTTTTTTTAATTTTTTATAAAGTTTCACTCTCTGTATAATAATAACTGGCTGGACAGAGACATGACTAGTAATGGGTGGTTTGCTTCTTGGTGATAAATTAATATTTATATTACACACTGTGTGTGATTTTTACTTCTAATAACTTTTATGAATTTTTTACACGCTATTATGTCGTATGATAGTCAGATTGCAAATTGACGTCAATCTCTAGTCCACCATTGCCCTGAACAATTATTCAATTTCTCCTTTTTTGTCTTTTACAGGGAACCTTTTCGTGTGCTTGCTCAAAGATCGGAAAATGATCTGGCAAGTCGGCTTGGCATTATTAGTATTATTCTTAGTATGGAAGTACATCATAGACAGCGACCCTTTGGACCAACTGCCGGGACCAACAAGGCTACCTTACATAGGAAGCGTTTTAACCTTCTTCGGCGTTAAGTACAGTAAGCCCTATTACTTTGTCTAAAATAAAACATTTTTTACAAATTTCACACCGTTTGTGGAAAGCGTTCCAAAACCTTCTGGCCATGAGGCGGGTTCCTTAACTTTTTTTATTTAATGTACTCGTAAGAAAATGACTATGAATATTTTTTACGTGAAATGTGTTCTTGAAACAACTTTTGAACAGGTACCTTGTATGATGATTAATGCTCACTTATTGTCACTCATAAAATAGGTACAGTCTCACACACCCATTATTCCCTCTCATAACGTAAAAGGTCATGCGTGGCACAAACTGCCTCGAAGAAAGTAAAGTAGTGCCAACCCAGGAAACTAATTGCTACGAAAAAAGAGTACAGTGGTGCCGACCATCGATATTTAATGATTGTTATGTTTGCTAATATTTAATGAACTTATTGCTGGCTAGCTTGTTATGCAACAAGAATTAATTAAAAAAATTGAAACAAGCATATTTAATTTTCAAGGTGAGAGCATTCTTCTCCCAATTAACAAACATATTTTTGAAAACATTGCTGATTAGGATCGCCGGTTCGAATACGAATGGCCTTAGTGGGTTTGCAAAATTTTCAGAGTTACATCAGAAAATAACTGTCCAATATTTAGTCTGGCTATCTTTAACTATTTCTGCGTACTCTCTTATGGTCCATATATATGAGGACCAATTTTGCTATTTAACGTTTGGTATATTGCTGACAGACTCGCGATCTAGACCTTTTAAAACTGTTTTCATCCTAATACTAATCTGTTATATATTTGTTTATTAGATGACCTGTTCCCCCTCATGCAGAGTTTCCCTAAGAAGTACGGCTATAGGTACATGATCAAGGTGTTCGGCCGGCGGATTTTGCACGTGTACAATGTGGAGGATGTGGAGGTAGGTTGTGTTAGGCTTACCTAACAACATACACTACAACAGAAACAAGTCGTAGGGGAGGGATATTTAGGATGCGACTTGTTTCCCGCCTAGTAATTTGCAAATTATTAAGTAGCACCCAATGGCTTGTATGCTCCCGAATGGAACTCACTTCAACTCACTCTGGATTCATGCGTGAGGGCATGAACCGTAACGTAATATAACTCATTTGACGACTCCGTGGCGCAGTTGCCAAGTTATTGGCTTCGGCGTCAGGGGTTGTGGGCTCGATTCCCACACGGGACAACTATTTGTGCGACCCATAGATAGTTTTTTCGCATCGGGGTGTTTGTCCTCGTGCAATTTATGTTTATAATTATATCCTTACAACACAGGATAATGTTATCCTTAAGTCAGGGCAATGTTTTTAAAAAAAAGACTCAACGTAATGTGTCCCTTTACGTAACGGGTTGAGTGGTGGAGGTGGAGCCATTCTTCCCGCATACTCCGACCGACCTGGTACCGCGGTGGAAGTTGGTATTGATTCTGGTCTATTTAGCCCGATGCCCTAATGGGGTGAAGATACACGAGCACAGACGAGCTCTGAATACGTTACTCGAGCCAAGAGCCTAAGGACTAGTGCCAACGCAGTTTCACGGGTGTTCTGCCCACCCTCCAAACTTGGTTCACGAAAGGGTAAAGTACAAGATACAGGAACGCACTAAGCCAAAGCCCACCATTGTGGGTATCGGGATTCCACGCAGCATAATCTCACCACGTGTGCTACGTGGGAGTCAGACAGAGGGATTGTGATCCAGAAGACATGCACCTGCCGCTGGTTGATGCAGTTGCACTGGCAAGTAAGACGACTTGGATGGCGGTGGACCCCTTATACCCTTTTGTGGAATCCGTTTTTTTTACGTGAGACAGTGGCAACGATCTGGCGGTTCACCTGATGTTAAGTGATAACCGCCTGCCCATGCACATTTGAAACACCCGTAGGGTTGCAGATTCGTTGCCACCTCTTAATAATTAATGTGGGCCCCGGCTACCTCGCTCACCAGACGAAACGTAGAAGTGCAACACTTCTACTTTACATCGGTCCTCTGTGAGGTCGTCGTACTTACCCGGACGGACCTGCCCATTCGTGCAACAGCGAACACTGTTGCGTGTCCCTACCACCGTATGATTAAGAAGATGCAGAACGAGACTAATCCCGCTCGACGATGGTAATTAATACTGACCTGTCAGGAATGTAGTTGTTATAGTAGCTTGGTCAGTAATCGGGCAGCCCCGAAACAGAAGGCCGTGGTTCGTGTTACGATCATTTACACACTTATTTTTTTACTTTTTTTTCGATTCCAAGTCATTGCTTTCTTTATTTTTTATTTTGTATCGATCCAGATCATTTTGTTATTTTTTTCCCTTTTTTTTAAAGTTATTTCTTTTGTGAAAAACACCAGTTCATATTTTCTTATTATTACGTCGGTAAGATCGAAAAATATTATGCATATTTCATTACTCAGTTATTTGTATCTATATGTAATTTCCAAAATACATGATTTGCCGAAAAAAAAAACAAACCGAGCAAAGCTTGGTCCTCCAGGTACTGTTTATTAAATTTGGTAAACGATCTGATCGAAGCGTGTTTCATCCACAAGGGAAAAATGACACATTAGTACAGCATTTTTGTATTTATTGTGTTTGTGTTTTGTATTTCCTTTTCAGATAGTTCTTTCGCACACGAAAAATATATCCAAGAGCAAGCCGTACACTTTCCTACAGCCTTGGCTTGGCACAGGCTTGCTGCTAAGTACAGGTCAGGTGAATATTAATATTATTTGAATCGACAGTACATAGTTTAGTTCATCTACCACCCAAATATTTCTCACTGAAATCGCTAATTTGTTTACGTACATCTATTTCGAAATACGAAAATTGGTAACCAGCAAGATATAAGGTGGACTCGATCCTAATAATGCGCAAGGGGATCCCTTGTCCAGAGGTGGGACGTATATTTTATAGGCTGTTACTTTACTATTAAGTATAGCCAAATCTGAGAAATATTCATCCTTTATTTTTTGTATAAAATATAAATGAGAACATATTCTATATTGGCATGCAAAAATAATTCATCATCAACATCATTTCAGCCTGTTTGAGTCCACCGCTGAACATAGGCCTTCCCCGCAGACTGCCACGAAGTACGATCCTGAGCCACCTGTATCCATCGACTCCCCGCACATTTGCATTGTAATCATAAGAATTTATTACACAAAATTAAAGTAAAAAGAAACGGCAGTAGCATAAACATCTATCAATGTTTAACATCCGGTATTCGAATTAACCATACAATATATTTTTGGAAATGAGAGCTATTTTTTAGGTGGCAAATGGCATCGGCGCCGGAAGATCTTGACCCCCACCTTTCACTTCAGCATACTGAGGAACTTCTCCAAGATATTTGAAGAGAAGAGCCGCGATCTGGTCAAAAGGCTGAAGGAGATGCCAACGGAGCAATACCTTGATGTCTTGGCAGTTATCAGCGAGTTCACACTTTACACGATTTGCGGTCGGTTTGGTCCCCTGCTATTGTCAGATATCATCACATAGTCAGATGACATTTATTACTATCATCAAATTAAATTACACAATAACTTACACAATTTATTACACAATGCTGCTGCTGAAGCCAAGTTTAGCTAAGCCACAAATTTATCTAAATTGTTTAATTTTTTTTGGTTTTTTCCAAAATTTCTAAAATCAACTGTTGAAATTGTTCCGAGCTCTCCAGTAGCTAAGTAAGTGATGCTCTAAATTCGGAAAGGTTTAAAAGTTCTTTCTTCTCCTCTAAAAAAATTATTTCAAAAATTATACATTTTTATAATTCAAATATTAGTTGTGTGCGAGGTTAAGCTGTAATTATCGGGTACAAAGTATACCAGGATAAGTGTGTGTAATTAATTTTGGAACGCAAATGGGTGATAAGTGGATAACAACAACTCCATTTTTCAACCGACTTCAATAGGAGGTTCTCAATTTGACTGTGTTTTTTTTATGTTTGTTACCTCATAACTTTCGACTGAGTTAACCGATTTCGACGATTATTTTTTTGTTTGAAAGCCGGTGCTTCCCATGTGGTCCCTTATTAATTTCATTGGTATTGGATCTTGGGTTGCGGAGATACTAATCTACTAATCGGTTCACTCAGCCGAAACTTCTGAAGTAACAAACATAAAAAAAATACAGTCGAATTGAGAGCCTCCTCCTTTTTGAAGTCGGTTGGAAAAAAAACCTCAAACTACTCCAGAATCCCTCCAATATTCCAGAAACAGCGATGGGAACGCGTTTGGACACGGACAAGTCGAAAGCGGCCGTGGAGTACAAGGAGTCGATTAAGATTATCGGAAATCAAGTAATAATACGCCTGACAAGGTTTTGGCTCCACATGGACTTCGTGTTTTATCGCACGTCACTGGGTGGGCAATTCGTCAAATGCCTGGAAGTAGTACGCTCCTTCGCCGACAACGTCATTAAGGAGAGGAGGAAGCAGGTTGCTAATCCGGGCCGGGGTTTCGATGACAAGCTCGATTCGAAAAAACGCCAGGCTTTATTAGATTTGCTATTAGAAGCGGAGAGCAAGGGGGAAATAGATGTAGACGGCATCCGCGAGGAGGTTAATACGTTTATGTTCGAGGTGAGATCTTTTGTCACGCGATTGCAGATGCGTTGACATCTTTTAACGAAGCGGGCCCCGGCTACCTCGCTCACCAGACGAAACGCAGAAGTATGACACTTTCACTTCACGCCGGTCTTCTGTGAGGTTGTACTTACCCGGATGGACCTTCCCATTCGTGCAACAGCCGAACCAGTTGCGAGGCCCTACCGCACGTGGTTTTCGGTGAGATACCATTTTTGGCCAGGACAATCACCGAAGGTCACTGGCCTAATTACGGCCTAATACTTGTTTGCCATTAAGAGCATAAAAATACAAACGTAGGCATCCCACTTTCCACAGTTTATAAAATTAGAAGTTTAGTAAATACAAATTAAAAAGGCTTGTTTATTCCTTGTCATGTATAGTTCGTATAAATAATAACGAGTGTGGATATTGTTAATCCAATATACATTCGATCTGGACCCCTTTTCAGGTGAAGGCTTTTCGGAGATTGCCACTAGTCGCGATCATGTAAAAAAGTTACCGGTGCGAAAATAACATCTGTGATGTTTTTACTTAGAAATGTGAAAGAAAGTATAAGAGCTACTAGATATATATATATATATATATATATATAACATAGCGCCATCTCGTATAGGCTTGAGGTACTGGAATTGTTGCTTTTGGATGATAACCTACTGGTACCGCAATATTTTGGGAGATGGCGTTATATTACATTATCAGACCGTACCGAGTAACATTACCGAACGAACGAGATTTTACACAGAAAAAGGGCTGAGGAAATTTCCGCTTGGGCTGAGAAAATTGCTATTATATTTTAGTAGTAAACTAATACTTACTGAGGCAGAATTTATTATTGTTTTTCTTAACTTGATGCTAATTTGCTAATTTTAGGGCCACGACACGACCGCTATGGCGTTGGCGTTTGGTTTGATGCTACTAGCTGATCACGAGGAAATTCAGGTGAGACCTAAAATATAAACTTTCATCTGCTTTTTATAACATCGTTTACTTACTTTAACAGATCGCTTCTATAGTACACGAATTCTATCCATTTAAATTATTCAACGGATAGATTACAACCGATCAGGATATATTATTAGTATGACGATAAAAATGCCTCAGCACTATGGTTAATGCTTTCATTTTTTGTTGGTTTTGTCTAAACACCAGAATATATACTTACTCTGATAATACGACATAGTCATTCAATGTATTTTATTCGAATTATATTTTACTTTTTTATGTTACTTATACATGTCGTTACCATAGCGACAATAAATGAACACACGTCTAACACTACTTGCCAATAATCATAAAAAAATATTAACGTTAAACAAAATCCATAATTAAAAAAAAATATTTTTCAAACAAACTAATTAGGTAAAAAAGAAACAAAATTTGTAACATCCTATACAACTCGCGCTACAGCGTCGTATTACAAGCCTCTCCTTCTAACAGTATGTTTTGTCTCTTTTAAATTCATTCAACCCATTCATATGCTTTGTGACCTTTACAAATGAACTTTACGTTACGCTTTTATAGGTAAGGTGTTCTAAAATTCTTTGTTTTGGAAAATTTAATAACTCTGTAAATATTGATGTTTAAAGAATTTAAATGTTTAATACATCTTTAAAAAGTTATCCCCTATATACGTGTTCATTTATTGTCGCGATGGTAACGACACGCTGTATATAAATAATTATATTATGTACAGGAACAGGATAAGTTTGAGATTATTTGTTTTTTCCCTTTGTTATTTTCATTATTATAATTAAAATGTTATTATTATAAAATTAAATTCTTTATGCAAATTTTTTACTTTAATATTCGGTGGCACAGCTGCTAAGCAATTGGCTACGGCAACGGGGGTCGTGAGTTCGATTCCCATACGGGACGGTATTTGGGTAACCATATTAGAATAATTTAAATAATTTTTACGGATCTGGGTGTATCCTTTCAAAGAGGTTTCACTTTAAGACGGTATTAAAAAGTATTTAGCCAATACCAGTATCAACTTGATTCACGTGTTGTATATAACCCGAGTAGAGTATAAGGAGTGTATTGTATTTTGTATTTTGTGTGGAAGAGGCAGGGTTAGTCCCAGCGAACACTGCAACCAAAAAGATATTTTTTAGTCCTCCATTTTGAAAACATTGCACCTTTACTGTAGAATACCATAATCCAGTGTTGTAAGGACGTTTTACATACCTAAATTTCATGTGGACAAACACCAGAACCAAAAAAATTTGTGGTTCACATAAATAGCTGTCTCCTGTGAGAATCGAACCCATGAGAATCGAGCGCATAAGTCTACGGAGTCATCATATCCTTATGATGACTCCGTAGACTTATGCGTAGACGATGACTCCGTAGACTCCGGCTTGTACACTCCTGTGTATGGGCCGGAGCTATAATACTTTCGCGTTTCATCTGGTGAGTTAGGTAGCCGGAGCCCAATTTTCAAAAGTCTGTCAACGCATCGCAACCCTCGTACGTTACAGATGTCCGTGGGCGGCGGTATTCACTTAAGATCGGGTGAACCGCTTACTCGCTTGGCAACTTTCAACATAAAAAAAAGGTCAAGTGCAACACTATTTCAGGAGAAAATTCACGAGGAGTGCAAGGGAATTTTCGGCGAATCAGACCGAACGCCCAGCTGGGCAGATTTGGCCGAGATGAAATATCTGGACGCGACCATCAAGGAGATCCTGCGCCTTTACCCCAGCGTGCCTTTCATCGGGAGAGTGGTGACGGAGGACTTCATGCTGGGTGAGATTCAACCCTGGTAGACGAGCCTCACAATTGTCTTAGAACCGACGGGTGCGTCATGAGTGTTAAGGTTGAGTTTTTGTTGAACTATGATTGCGCAGAGATGAATAGAAACGCAGTGATGTCAATATAATTTCCTTTAATGTCTACTACGGTGCACACTTTAATAACACTTCTAATGCTTTTTTTTATGCGAAAAGTTGTCAAACGAGCAGACGGTTCACCTGATGTTAAGTGAATACCGCCGCCCATGGACATCTGCTACACCCGAGGGTTACAGATGCTTTGACAACCTTTTGAAAATTGGGCTCCGGCTACCTCACTCACTAATTGTCATACTTCCACTTTACGCTGGTCTTCTGTGAGGTCGTGGTACTTACCCGGACGGGCCTGCCCATTCGTGCAACAGCCAAGGCTGCTGCGTGGCCCTACCACCGTAGCTTGTAAACTGTTCACACATTTCGCCATATTAATTTTAATTTTACCATAAAGGGAACAACAAATTATAAGTAATAGCTCTCTACGGTATTAAACTTAAACACCTGGCGTGTTCAGATCAATTTAACATTATACTCAACAGTTTTGAATGCGGTAAAATCTATATTAAAATGTGCCTTTCTGTATGATGACTGTTTGCTTCTTGTCTGTTTTGGGGTCGCGGCTAAAGAAGTATCTACAAAAAAATAAAACTAAAATAATTAATAATCGTTTGATTAAAATTATAACCATATTCATAAATAATATGTTATTTAAATTTTTTTATAGTGCTAACTTCTGCACTTAAGATTGAACATTAAAAATTTGAAGAAAAAGTACGAAAAGATTGTCGCCGTTGTGGGATTTTTTTAATTTTTTTTTATTTTATTAGCACTGTAAAAAAAAATTTAAAAGAAGCAATGGCGACATCTCTCGTTCGAATTATCGTTGTAAAACGACATTCGAAATTGTTACTACATAAAGTAATGTTTGAGTTTGTGAAGCTAACTCCTGCACATCATATTGCAACGCGGTATCGTCTTCTACGTTATTTTATGAAATGCTCTATGAAATATCCTAAATTTTTTAACCTCATAATCGCATGTCGGTCTTGTAGCTCTTTCGTTAATAAGGTAAGTAAAGCAAGTAAGCAAACAGCCTATACTCATGTTCCACTGCTGGGCAAAGGCCTCCTCTGTGCAGAGGTTATGACGGCATAGTCCCCCTCGCAACCCCACTGCGTATTGGCGGACTTCAAATGTCTTCGAAATATTTTTTTGTTATTATTTCGAAAATAAGCAGGCTTCCTCACGATGCTTTCCTTCATCGCTGAGCACGTGATAAGCCAGCACTTAAAATTGCAATTAAAAGTTTCGTTGGTGACGGCACCGTGAATTGCACTAAGGTTGCTCAAGTGTATGAAATTAAAAGCGAGCGAAGATAACTGCGCTATCACGGCTCCTAAATAAAAGTAGGTAATAAAAGAATATATAGGTACTTGCTAGCAAAAAAGTAAAATTTTCTGAACGAAATCGTTTTTGAATATCACTTTATACATACGTTTTAAATTGGTCACTAATAGATGATTTGAGGTATTGAGATTGATAAAATATTATTTTAAGTTACTGAGGACCAATACCAAAAATAATTGTTCAAAGTTATCGAGGCTGCGTATTTTAAGTAAAAGAGGGTTTGGCTTTTATTTTATAATTTTTAAAATGACACACACAAATACATTTTTTGTTCAATATATACATAACATATTTTTTTAAATAAATGCAGATCACACTTAAAGTTTAAAACAAAACTAATTCGATTTCTTGTTTTTACGCGAAAATACAATGTGAAATGAAACTGTTTTCATTTCAGATTTTGTCGCGTCTAATTCGATTTTTAAATTCCTGATGTTCAAAACGTTTAGAAATGTACCAATTATTTCACCAAACCAAATTATCAAATAAACCACGTTGATTTGTTTTTTTTGTTTTATGAAATGTCAAAGAGCCGTGATAGCTCAGTGTCCGGGCGCTCGCCTTTAATTCAATATACTCGAGCAACCCGAGTTCGATCCCCGGTGCCGGCACCAATGAATTTTTTAACTTTAAGTGCTGACTTACCACGTGCTCCGCGGTGAAGGAAAACATCGTGAGGAAACCTGCATATTTTCGAAATAATAACAAAAAAATATATTTCCAAGATATGTGAAGTCCGCCAATCCGCAGTGGGGCCGCGTGGTGGACTATGCCCTGATATCCTCTGTATAGAGGAGGCCTTTGCCCAGCAGTGGGACATGTATAGGCTGTTACTTTACTTTTTTACTTTATGGAATGTCTTACGGTAAGGTTGAAATAATACATTACATCTCTTCACTCAAATACAGATGACAGTTTGTTATATGATCGTATTTTTCTTCGTAGGTGACCTGGAGGTAAGGAAAGGCGCCGAACTGTTGGTTCACATCTACGAGCTGCACAGGCGCCCTGATCTCTTCCCTGACCCTGATGAGTTCAGGCCGGAGAGGTTCCTCGGGGGTGTGGCATTTCTCTATCTCACCTCTTGTCTCTATGTTGGTGCGTGTCTTTTTCTCTATCTCACCTCTTGTCTCTATGTTGGTGCGTGTCTCTTTCTCTATCTCACCTCTTGTCTCTATGTTGGTGCGTGTCTTTTTCTCTATCTCACCTCTTGTCTCTATGTTCGTCGGTGCGTGTCTATGTTGGTGCGTTTCACTTTCTCTATATCACTTCTTGTCTTAATTCTGGTGCGTCTTTTTCTCTATCTCACCTCTTGTCTCTATGTTGGTGCGTGTCTTTTTCTCTATCTCACCTCTTGTCTCTATGTTCGTGCGTGTCTTTTTCTCTATCTCACCTCTTGTTGGTGCTCTTGTCTCTATGTTCGTGCGTGTCTTTTTCTCTATCTCACCTCTTGTCTCTATGTTGGTGCGTGTCTCTTTCTCTATCTCACCTCTTGTCTCTATGTTCGTGCGTGTCTTTTTCTCTATCTCACCTCTTGCCTCTATGTTGGTGCGTGTCACTTTCTCTATATCACTTCTTGTCTTAATGCTGGTGCGTCTTTTTCTCTATCTCACCTCTTGTCTCTATGTTGGTGCGTGTCTCTTTCTCTATCTCACCTCTTGTCTCTATGTTCGTGCGTGTCTTTTTCTCTATCTCACCTCTTGCCTCTATGTTGGTGCGTGTCACTTTCTTTATATCACTTCTTGTCTTAATGCTGGTGCGTCTTTTTCTCTATCTCACCTCTTGTCTCTATGTTGGTCCGTGTCTCTTTATGTCCATTTCCATTATAACTGTGTTGCTCTCTTGTCTAATACGATTTAGTTATACAAGAGACCAATGTAATTTTCATTCTTACACTTATACATTTTTTGAGTCTACTAGATTTATTATTTTCAACAATTTCAAATATATGTTAATAACATAACAAAACCGCAATCCCTTTATTCAGAATTTGAAGACTTTAGACATCAATGTTTATTATTAACATACGTATGTATATAAATATAAACATACTTTTGTGTTTTCATAATTATTATCAATGTTCTGCCCAAAAACAGGATAATGTGAAAAAAGAAACTAAAGGAAGAGGCTTGATTAACGTATACTTGTGATGAGGTTACTTAGAGATTTTAAGACATCACAACAATGTTTTGACTCTGATGATTAAATAATATACATCTCAAAAACAGGGTTTCCTTTCAGGATTTTCATCCAAATGAGATCTTTAATAATAAGAACGATCGATCGATTATGACATATGGTTCTAAAATAATAAATGCAATAACTTATCATATACAGGGTGGCTTTTCTAAGTGTATCCATTTTTTTTTATTAAATTCTAAACATAAATAATGTTATATAAAAATGATAAATATTTAAAATCACTCGTAATTAATTAATTACATTCATTTGAACTTATCTCAAAAAGTGCGTGATTTATGGGCAATTCATTTATTTTAAGCGCGATCATTCATAACTAACACGCACACAGGTTCGTTTCAAAAGTATACGACGTATCTATAAATGACTACCGATCGCATTGTACACAAGTTCTGTTTTTTAGGGAGTTGAATGACAATATTTGAAAAAAAAAAGTTTGTTTTTATTTCAATAAAAGATTGTACTACCGAGTCTGAGCCTCCTGTGTACATTTGGACACCCTTAGAAAAGCCACCCTGTATATACGCAGCAGCACGGCCAATAAGTAAACTAGCTAAAAATAGATAATATTAAGTAGTGTTGTGTTGACACGGTACGGGCACATTATGAGAAGGGATTAAAGCCATGTGAATAGAAAAATGATTAATACGAATGTGGTTAGAGGGTATGAAGCTAGAGGAAAACCGCAAAAGATTTGTATGGAATTTGTGAAGAACGATATGTCTGTGAAAGGGCTGAGTATTGAGATGACGGCTGATAGGGGAAAGTAAGGAAGGGCGTGTCATGTTGTGCCAACCCCAACTAGTGTGGGACAATGGCAGGACAAATAATATTAAATATTCTACTAACATTTAATTAGATTGGAGGGAATCTGACACATTTTTTTCGGTGGTAGGGCCACACAACAGTTTGCCGTTGCACGAATGGGCAGGTCCGTCCGGGTTAGCACCACGACCTCACAGAAGACTGGCGTCAAGTAGAAGTGTTGCACTTCTGCGTTTCGTCTGGTGAGTGAGGTAGCCGGGGCTCACTTCATTAAGAAGTGGCAACGCATCTGCAACCCTACGGGTGTAGCAAATGTCCATGGGCAGGCCGTTTTTCACTTAACATCAGGTGAACCGCCAGCTTGTATGCCACTTTCTCACATTAAAAAAAAATATTTTCTTGATAATTTTTAATACTAGTTTTACTCGACTTCGCAGGTCAAAGGTTCGCAATGCAAGAGATGAAGTGCGCTCTCAGTGAGATCTGTCGCCACTTTAGGCTGTTCCCAAAGTCGAGGGGCGCTAGGCCCGCCCTGAAAGCGGACATAATCCTTCGCCCAGTCGACCCGATGTACGTAAAGTTTGTACCTCGATAGTATTATCAAAGAGTTTCAAGAAATAAATCATTCGTTTCAAAGACTAATTCTTTAATCAAAAGTCTCCTTCAGTATACCGCATTGCCGCTGCATGGCCTTACCACAGATTCGTTAACAAATACTGAAACTATTTATTCTATACGTAACTTGTTACCTACAACATGTAACTGGGTGGTCCACGTGAAATTTATGTTTGTAAAACGTCCTTACAGCACAGGATAGTGTTATCCTAAAGTAAGGGAAATGTTTAAAAAAAATTGTAAAAACTTATTTCATAGATAACGTACAATATGCATAGATAACCCCCAATTTATTTTTAATACGTCACTACATTACATATGGTTTAAGTTCAAATGTACAAAAAACTTGTTTACACAATTTTTATACGTGATATTTTATTATAATGTTAAAAATCACCCCTTCTTCAATCTTTGGAAACATCTAGGCAGTTACAATCTACAACATGTAATTTATTATACTTGATATTTGGGGATAAAATTTAAGATTGAATAAAACAAGTCAATAAGAAGGGGTCACCAATACCCAGTGACGATGAAAACGTCGCACGGAACTTCTCTTGGCAAGTAAAGCAAGTAAACATTCTTAGCTGTCTCCAGTAAGTTAATGTATCCAATTACTTAGTAATGTTTGTACATTAAGTTCCAAAAGCTGGCAGCGACGAACGTCGTCTCAGTTCATTTATCTACAAAAAACTTTAGAATTTAATGAATGAATAACTAAAAATGTTTAAAAAATTAAAGGCATCGAACGTTGTTATCAAAAAGGTTTTGTAATGAAGATTCAAAAACTTTTGTAATTAGTTCGATTAAGTACCCGATCAATCGAAAACTGGCGTTGTAGCAGTTTTTAATTATACCTACTTGTTTGTTTGTTCAGTTTATTATGAATAAACTTTTCTTTTACTTTAAGTGATAGCCTTTAAATAGATCAAGGGACCTGTGGAAATACGCTTCTAAAAACGCTTTAAAAATTTATAAAATCGATATATTCTTCTTTAATTTCATGGTCTAGGCTGTGAATAACTTTTTTTATGTGAGGAGTAACTTTTTTTGTTAAGTGATAACCACCACCCATTGGAGATTTGCCACAGCCGTAGGGTTGCAGATGCGTTACGATCTTTTAATAAAGTGGGCCCCGGTTACCTTATTCACCTGACGAAACGCAGAAGTATAACACTGCATTTCACACCGGTCTTCTTTGAGGTCGTGGTACTTACCCAGATGGACCTGCCCATTCTTGTAATACAGGAAACTATTGCGTGGCCCTACTACAGTGTTTGAGTGCAACGATAAAAATAATTGTGAGATTATAATTATGTATGCTAAAATCTTAATGATACAACTTAAAGGCTATTAACACATTAGTAATTCGTCTGGTATTGCGATAGTCCAATGCAGCAATTGTCACTTGTTTTCATACTTTTACTTTCCTTTAGTAAAATAAATGTTATCCTTCGCATAAAATACTTTTTAATGTATTCTATCCTTGATTCCAACGCTCGCACTGTCAAAGGGATACAAAGAAAACAACTTTAGTTAGCTGGAGTTATGATTAACATGTAATTAGCCCACATGACTATCATAAAAGTTGTTATGTTGCTATTAACAACTTTTATGATAGTCATGTGTTTTCAGTTCTTATTTTATTTTAACATCTCAGTCTAAATTAAAAAAAAATCGTAACGTAGATCAAACTGATAGCGTTACTTCAACCATATTCGGTTCTAACTTTCATGAGAAATTTGATGCAACATCTCAAATTGCTTCACAGTGCACAAATTTATTGTACGGTGAAGATAGTAAATGAAGAACAAATAGGCTAAGTGTAGTGTGTATAAAAGAAAAACCTACAAATTCCCTACGGGGGTTACCCAATTGGAAGCAAGGTTTTACTTCGAGTGTCCACGGCTCGGGCTATTATGGATAGCACCGTGCCACAGAGCTTAAGCCAATCAAGTAAGATGACGTCGTCTTTTTAGCACTCGCCTTGCACTTTAGTAACACGGACTATTCAGGACAGGACATCCTACCGCCTCGACTTGATCGTCCGTGGTTCCAATATGTTTTGTAGGTATCACTGTGTTTTAGGCCAATAGCCTTAGGCCTAGATAAAACTATTCACAGCTACAGTGACATATGTTAGTACAATCTTTTAAAACCTTAAGGTGCAATTTATTTCACTTGGAGAGCCATTGATGTTCATCTGAACAACCTACAAAACTTTCTAGATATGTATATAATTCTTCTGTGTTTGTATATGACTGAACTCGCTAAACGGCTGGAATGATTTTGATGAAATTTTTTGTGTGTGTTCAAGTGGATTCGAGAATCATTACACTTTTCTTTATAAGCTCTTTTTTATTTACAAATTGTTCTCGGATTTAAGAGGTAACGTTTATCGTCCGCTAGTTTTAATATAAAAATGAATGGGAATAAATATTCTTTTCTTTATTCGAATATCGAATTTCATTAAATCGATATCGAAAAAAGGCACATTTACTTCGAATTCGTATTATTAAACTATACGACACGAAAATAGAGCCAACTAGACTGCAAGTCCATTTTAAAAGCGAGTGCTCTTCCAGCGCGTAATGTTATTTCAGTTAGTTTTTTTTTCTCAAGAAGGAGATTTTATGTACGGCAATTTTTTAAGAGCTGAGGCATTTTCATTATGAATAAAAAAAACTCAATTAGTAGGTAAATTTCACATTTAATATGAATTAAGATTGTTCATAAAATTTATTAAAAAAAAAAGAAAAACTTAAAACGAAATTAGAGAACGATATTAAATTTTGCGGAAAATGGAACACCTGACCCCAACTACTGTGCAAGATTTTTAATCTTAAGCTTGTAGGTGTCCTTTGAAACGTAGACACTGTGAAGCGACCTTCATAAAGTCTACATTTCAAAGGCTGGTGTACGATTAATTCATAATAGGATTCAATGTTCTACGTTTATGTTCATCTGGAAATATTCAGCGTGAGTGGCTTTTTGTTACATTATAATTTCGTGTTTTGGAAACTGGTCACTTATTGTACACAAATGATTAATTTAATTTTCGTTGTAACCAGACAAGTTTGATGGTGTTCTTAGATACAAAAAGTTTGCGAAAAACCGTGTTGAAAGGTGCAATGAACGCGGAATACTTTTTAAAGATTAATTATGACAATCGATGTAATTAAGTTTATGCCTATTATATCAAAAAGGTCGCGTACTTTTGACCTTCCCTTGTATTTACAGCACGGTGTTATAACCGCGACCTTAAAGAACACATTTCTAACGCTACTTGCCAAATAAAAAATAATCGTAAAAAATCCATAATTAAAAAAAATATTTCAGACAAACTAATTTAATACAAAAAATGAAATTTATTTTTTTTAACTCGGTGAATATTGATGTTTCATGAAAGTAAATGTTTACTAAAATTTTAAAAAGTTATCCTCTATATGTGTGTTTATTTAAGGTCGCGTAAGTAGTGCCACGATGTAAACAGTTATCAATATGTACGTCTGTAGTAGTTTAAACTTGAACACGATAAAATGTTGGCGGATAATCTCATAGAAGGCCGGAGTGATTGAATTGGTTGTGTTATACTTCTGCAGTGTAGGAACTGGAGCCCACATATTTAAAAGGTCACTCTATTAAAAGGCATTTCCAATCCTACGGGTGCTGCAAATGTCCATAGGCGGCGGATAAGCACTTAACGTCCGGTAAACCGCCAGCTCGCTTACCACTTTCTTTCAAAAAAAATAACCGGTCAAGTGCGAGTCGAACTCGCACGCCGAGAGTTCCGTACCCATTATATCGACATAATAAAACCGGTAAATAATCACCACCGATTTTCTCAGGAGCAGGTACACTTAGCAAGTTGAAATTTATACCAGATACTGAAATTAAGGTCTATAGTCCTTATTAGGTGTATAAACCTTAATTTTCAACTTTTTTATTTTTCGAAAAATATTCTTTTTGTCAAATTTCGTGATTCTAGGTTGACATGAACTATCATATAGGTTATTGACCCAAAACCGATAGGTTACTATCTAAATAAATAATAAATAATAAAGCTTTATTTAGTTCCATGCATAGTGAGTTAATATTAAACAATAACAATTGGTAACTTATTACAACGTAGATTAAACTACTGCGTTTATTACACTTATATGAATTTTATTTCTATTTATAAATTCTATTTTGTTATTAATTTATTTACTTATTTGTTATAATTATCTACTACCTAATTAATTAATGCATGGACCCCATTCGGGTAAAAGCCTCCCCCAAGGAATGCCATTTTTCTTTGTCGTTAGCTCTGTCTAGCCAACTTCCACCCGCGCACGCTAAAATTTCATCATCAATTCAGGGTACTATCTAATAACTTAAAATCTAATAAATTTCGGTTAAAAGCAAGGTCTTACGGCGCAAGTAGAGTGAAAATTCCGAAAAATAAAAACAGTTGAAAATTAAGGAAAATTTTTGTACAAGTTTAGCTGGTGTGTAGTTTAATATCGCTTTACACAGTTTCTGGGGTAAACGAATTCTCAGTACAAATTTAGGTTTCCATTCATAAGTTTGTTTTACTTGATGCTTTGTTATATAAAGAAATAGTTTATTTTTGAAATTTAAGGCTCTCAAGTCGAAAGGAGAATGAGATTTGAAATCGCGTTTCCCAATCTATTTAAAATAAAACACGCAGTGAACGCATTAGCTGAGTCGAATAGGCATTTAATTCGTAGAGTCTTCTTTTCAGAAAGGATACACTTTTTGAAAAAAAAAAAAATCATTTAAAAAATAGTCTACGTCCTTTCTCAGGCTCTAGACTATCTGTGTACCAAATTTTATTTAAATCGGTTCAGTAGTTTTGGAGTGAAAGTGAGACAGACAGACAGAGTTACTTTCGCATTTATAATATTATTATGGATGGTACGAACAAGGACAACCAAACATACATACATTGCAAGTTAAATAAAAGCTTGTAAA